CCTTTTTGTGTTCGCTTATGCACGAAACCTGCAGTGATGACTCAGTGTAATTAGGACAGCAAAAGTAACGTCTGTTCTCGGCCATCAAGGTTTGATGACCACTATCTCCCCCTTTCTACGAGAAGTTTGAGACCATTCAATCTTCTGTCCCGTTTCGCCATGTGCTCAGCCAGCTTCGATTTTTGAACCCAACAGCTTTTGCAGGCGATTTTGTGTTCAGCCACTCTTTGTCGAATGGGACGACAAGTCTCTCCAAAAGAAAGCGACCACATGAACACATTATGTTGTAGCAACCAGATCTGGATAATGGGTCAAATTTCTCTCTGAAAATGGGGGCAACTGAAGAAAGTGTCCTGGCTTCCGTGAGAACCATTTTATTCCCCATTTCCTTATTTGTTAACCTATCCTTTTAGAGAGAATGCACGAAGGTAAAGACAAAACATAAGAAAAGGTTTCATTATCTCTCCCTGCATATTCCTCATTCAAAAAGCTATTCTTTATTAATCTAATGAAATTTTCAATTAAACCTAGTGGATAATTATTGTCAGGAGATAATATTTTAAGCCGATCCAGTTCATTGTCACAATGGTCTCTATCGGCTAGTTTTATGCTCCTAATAATCATTGATTTTAAAACTCCAACCTTTTTTTGACTATGATTGGAGAAGAAGTTAAGTAAAAAGCCAGCATGCGTTGCCTTTCTTTATACATTCCCGCTTAACTTCTCACCTGCTCTGATCACTAAGACATCTAAAACGGGTAAATTATTCTCTTTCTCAATCTGCATTGTCAGCTTAACATTGCAGTCAATCTGGTTAATTAAAAACAATAAATTATCTAAACTATCCTTGCCATGCTGTCATATGGCAAAGTAGTCATCCATATATCTAACTAATACTTTTGGTGTCAATCTTTCTTCTTCTATGAAGAGTTACTCCATAATGGAAGCCAAATAAGATTTCATTGTTAGGCTTTGCACCTGTTCATAAATCTTATCATTAAAGTTGAAGTATATGCTACTCATGGATAAATTGAGTAACCTTGAGATTGAGCTGTTTGCTCAGATGTATTCACCATATTTAGTTTAAGGCGATGAACGACTTGCGATTGAATTTCGCCACAATCCATGACGTGTTCCTGCATTCTTAACATGTAATTATTAGCTAAAATGGGAGCCAAGCAAGACCCATTGCTAGGCTTTGACCGTGTCATAAACCTTATCATTTAATCTAAGGTATGAAGACTAAGATGATGTGGCCTTTTGTGTGGTCGCAGTCTCCTTTCGTTGTATAGAGGTTGTTTGACATTGTTTTCGCAACTTGGTCATATTTGTAGTAAGACTTAGAGGAACGCACCTAGTCCGGAGTCCAGTGTATGCATGATCATTTCCAGATTAGGTTCTCATGAAAGCCACTCAAAAGGTCACACCACACTTAATTTAAATAAGCAAGGGAAAAATTGTTTTAGTGAAGGTGTGATAGGTTATAGGAAATGTAAATAGACCAGGGCAGAAGGGGAGATACCACAATAGTTTAGCACACATTTGGCTTAAGGATCGGCTTTACTTGTCTCTTTCACGAGTTGTTGTGTGGTCCTAAGAATGGCGAAACTCACTGACGATGCCGGCGAAACGTCTAGGAATGCACCACATCCATGGTCCTACTCTGGAAACGATCATGCATACAATGGACTCCGGACTAGGTGTGTTCTTCTAAATCTTTCTACCAATATGATCAAGTTGGGAAAACAAGGTCAAACAACCTCTTATCATTTAGGGTAAGGTATGTGCTGCTCATGGATAGATTAAGAAGCCTTAAGATTGAGCTTTTGCTCAGATTTGCTTCCCCAATAATTTCTGGATGCTCATCTAGGCTGAGTGTAAGTGCTACAATAGTTTTATGAACTTGGATGTTAGTATACATTGATACCACTTCAAGACTAACCAAATGATTCTCCTCTCTAATACTCTGTTAATCTATTACTTTAGCAAATTCATATGAATTCTTCACTGAATATTTCCAATAATCAGCCACTTCCCTTAATAGTCTCCACAGAAATAGTGCATCACACATCCCTTATTATTAACAGTCAATCTTAGACGGACTCCCTCCTTGTGTGCTTTTGGAAGACTGCCCTAGCATCCCTTTGAAGAAGTAAATTCATTTTCCACTCTCAATTTATTTTTTTGCTTACACAAACGCTAAGCGAATCCTTAAGTTTGGCTTTAAGACTCTCTGTGGGATCCTTCAGTAAAAGTCTGTAAGTTTCTGAGTCATTTAAATGAGCCATCATATTTTCTATATAACTTAACCTATCCATGATGACCACTGCACCACCTTTATCTACCTTTAAAACAAGCAGCTCATTTTGGTGCAAATATCTAGAAACTTTATTCAAGTCATACGATTTCTTTGGAACAATTACTTCATCAAAATGAGGAATCACTTCCCTTTCTATACTATTCTTAGCCTCTTCTGGCAGCTTGTCCGCTACTTTAATTAACTTAACCAGTATCTCCATAGAATAATTTTGCTCATTTGGAAATGCAAAGTTTAAACCCCTTTCCAAGACGAGCGTAACATTAGCATCTATAGATGTGCTGGATAAATTAATGAATTTATTTTTGCTAGAAAAAATAGTACTAAATTTAACTAACTCCTTATTGTTTCGACGATTTCTTTGCTGATGTTGATACCTAAATTACTTAATGTCTTGTCATGTCGGGATCTATGGATCTTATCCATCCTGTCCGTCAGACCATCCGCCATTTTCTGCAATTTGAGAAAGTCTTCTTAAGAAAATAGCTGGGAAAGGAATAGTTTAGTCCTTGTTTTGGTTCTAATCAGGTCATGCAATTTGTCTATACTTTCTTTGAGTCTAGTCTTAACCAAACCACCTGATAGATGTTCCAGTGTCCTATTAGTGGAAATAGCTAAATCTGGACGTCTACCAATAATACAACATCTAGGAATTGCATTATGTGAAATACAAATTTTTAGAAATTGAATAGTATTGACTTGCCGAGATATAGATTTCTTGGTTTTCGTATAGCCAGAAGAAAGGTGATAAGAATTCATACCATACGTACGTAATATATGCGAAGAAAAGTTGGGTTTTGAGAAATCTCAAAACCTACTAGCCTATTCTCCTCTAAAAGTGTCTGCTAATCAATCAATCTCACAGCATCATACGAATTTTTGACTGAATATAGCCCAAAATAGGCAGAGTTCCTTAGTTGTATGCATAAAAAACGTGAGATTTGATGCATAACGCTTCCTTTATTATTAACGATTAATCTTAAAGGGACACCCCCCTTGTGAATCATATGGATACCGTATCCCATGGGGGCCCTTGCACCCTCTGGAGTAGTTAATTCATTTTCCACTTTACATTTCATCATTATTTACGCATACCTTAAGGGCACCATTTAGCCTAAGTCTCGAAGCTCTACTCAAATACGAAAAGTAAGTCTTTATTTTGGATTTCTCAATAAAAGAATATATGTTTCAGTGGCATTTAAATGAACTAGCATTCTACCAATAAAAGCAAACGGCTGCAGTACAACGGGATTCAGCTGTCGACTGGTGAGATCGATTTACGAATATCTTCTTCACGCACTTTTATACAAACTGAAAGTCCCCCCCAACAATGTTCTCTCAGGAGATTCATCGAAACTCAGTTTATCCTTGTGTTTATCGATATGTCTGCTTTATCCTAGCATATGTGCCGGGCATCTATGATCTACTTAATAATCTTATAAGAATTTTATGCAAGAGTAGAGAGATGAGAAGTAGTTGAAGGCGGAAGAAGAGTAGGACGAGGAGGAGGAGGAGGAAGAAAAGGAGGTGATTCGCTAAACCGACAGATATTTTCTGTCTTATAATGTGCGTCGGCTTCCACTCAAGAAACGTGAACTGAGAAGGTTGCCGTCGTCTTAGTATTTGGATTACTGATCTCAAAGACAAAACTTAGATCAGTGGTGGTTAAAACGCAATGAATGAGGATTGTTTTGAAGCAAGAAGCTAGCAAAGGGGTCATTTAGGGGCTCAGACTCAAACAGTTTGAAAGCAAATTTCAGTTTTTAAGGGGATTTCGAGACTACAGGTAGATCTGATATAAGAGCCGTATTCACCCTATTTCATCTTAAATAACAACAGCGATAATGCTTTGCATTGTCTACTGACAAGAAAGCTATTTTTGACCCTTTGATAGGCCTTTTTTCATAAAAGGTCAAAAATAGTTTTCTTGCTTGTCATATTATGGTATTTGTTGGCCTCGGATACGAGGCCTATGAGGCTAATTGCGAATGACCGATCGCTCTAAACTAAGCTTGTCGGCACCTTTTCCTATTTCTCTACGAACATGTAAATATTGTGCTTTCCCCCAGTCCCTGTTACAACTGCACGCGGTGGCGGAGAGTCATCACGACAACCACATGATGGACTTTCTGGAGTCTGAGTACCTCAACGAACAAGTGACTGCTATAAAAGAACTGGCCGACTACATTACTCAATGCGAGCGAGCCGGCCCTGGTCTTGGCGAGTACATGTTCGAAAAGCTGACCTTCAAGGAGTAGAGATTTGAAGGCATGGCTGTTGCCATCCTGGACTTTTGTGTTTGTAACCATAACTATATACATACAATTATCAGTCAGTAAAATGTTCTAGCATAAAATGGGTTGTTTTTATTGTCAGAATAAAATAGTATCGCGAAAAGTAGCACAAAATGTCACAACAAACGCTACCAACTTTGTCAACCTTTTTTACTGCTTCATCTCACTCTTCTTCCCTTACCTAATCTCGGTCCATCTTCTTGTCATTCCTCTCTTATTCGTAGTCCTCTTTTAGCCTCCTCGATTTACTATTTTCATTTCCTTTCCAGCATCCATCAGTATATCTGTTCAAATAGTGAGGTATCTTCTCTTCATTCAAGTGCAGCGGCAGCAATACTTGTTTCTCACGTCTCTGACTCGATTGTTCTGTAACGATTGAGATTAAGCGCTGATTTCATCATTTGAACTAGCCACAGAGGCAAAAGTTCAGATTTAGTGTAGTGGCGCCGGAAGGATACGGAATTTAGTTGATTCGAAAGCTTCTTGTGCAGCTTTAAGTTGTGTATATACAGCAAAGGTATACTTCGAAGCCATTTGTCATTTTTTATAATAAATTTGTTTCTTTTGGGCCACTAAAGAGAATTTAAGTATTAATAGCGAAGTTTTTGCCACAATGAAAGGATGTGATACACACAACTCATTTTGGAATCCCGCTAGGCGTGCCGATGATGATGATGATGAACTATGAAAGATCTCTTA